CCACCCTTGGTATATGGGGCCAGCACCCTACCCACTGAGCCACAGGAGCCGCCCCTATGGTATCAATTTTTAAAGAATTATTTCTTTAAACTATCTGGAATTTATTTTGTTATAAGGTGTTAAATAAGGATCTAATGTTTATTTTTCCAAATAGTTGGTCAGCTGTACCATACTCTATAATGAATTCTTCCTTTCCTCTCTGATTTCTGAAGCAACTTTTATCAAATGTGAAATTCTTAGATGTACTAATTTCAGTTTCTAGGCTACAGATTCTGTTATACTGATTATTCCATTGACATCTGGGTCAGTGTCACACTGTTTTGACAATTACAACTTTACAGTATGTTTTCACATCTGGTAGGATAAGACTCCTCCACCTTCAGCTTTATAAATATTACTAAGAACAGTGGCCCCACTTACATACCAGGTCCAGCGTTGGGCTCCCCAGATAGAATATGAACCACCAAGTCTCACCTGTAAGGAGGCCACTCCCTTGGGGAGGTAAACAGGTGGACCGGTGACTGCACTGCTGCCTGGTGGGGCAGAGGTGGTGGTGCTAGACCCTGACTGGCTGGAGTAGGAGTGAGCCAGACAGGGAAGCAGGCAGGGTGTTACAAGCAGAGGCAGCAGTGTGGACACAGGCCTGGTGCCAGAAACGCACCAGCATGGTTAGGGAGCTGTAAATGCTGGGGGGGCGGGGGGCGGGGGGGGGCAGGTGAGACTGCAGAGGGAGGGGTCTGGCTTGAGGAAGGCCTTGACTGCCAAGGGAGATGTTCAGATGACCCCAAGGACACAAGCCTCAGCCTGGACAACTTCAACTGCTGGCTCTCTTCCCAGGAACATGTTCCCAGCCAACCTGGTGGAAGCCACATTCAAACAGGTGAGTGGGTCCCTGGGCAAGGGAGGGGAAGGGGCAGCTTACAGGAGGGGCAGGCAGGCAGGCGGTTTGGAAAGTGACAGTTTTGCCCAGCCCATCTCCTCCTTTCCTGGCAATGGGATGCTAGAGAGGAGGGGAGGTAAAGGGACCTAGATCCTTAGAGCCGCCCCTGACCACAACCCTGTCCTAGGTTGAGTTTTTCATGGAAGAAAAGTACAGGGGCGGAGGATGCTCACACATATACTTCCTCCCTCAACCTCTCAGTAACCCTGCATTGAGGTAGGATCGGCCCCATTTCCTGGATGAGGAAACTGAGGCTCAGAAGGATTAAAGGACTTGCCCGAGTTTATACTTGTAAACGACAAAGCTAGTAGGGAAACCCAGGCCTGCCGGGCCTCTAAGCCCATTTTCTTTTTCTTTTAAAAATAATCCTTTGTCACCCTAATAAGAATAGCAATAATGTTCACTGTAGAAAATTAGGAAAACACTAAAAAATAGAAAATAAAAATCACTTCCAGTTCTAGTACCTACTATAATTTATTTGCCCATTCTTCCTTTCAGTGGTCTTTTAGGATATTTTCAAACTTTTATTGATTTTTTTTTTTTAAACAGTGTCTCATCTGTCATCCAGGCTGGAGTGCAGTGGCACAATTATAGCTCACTGCAACCACAAACTCCTGGCCTTAAAAGATCCTCCTGCCTCAGTCTCTTGAGTTGCTGGGACTTAGGCACCCACCACAA